CAAATATAGGCTATTAAAACAAACAGATTGAAGTTGTGGTTGACATAGCAACATTGTATTTCCTGTTTGTATCCCCTGAATGAACACAGACATAATACATATGTGTTTTTTAGATTGAGTATGACTTTAGCTTCTCGAGTGTGTAATTATCAATAATAATAATGATAATAAAGTAAATGTCCATATGTCCGCTGAGAAATCATAGTGAAGGAACTTTACTTATAGAGAACGTTTGTAGCTGTCTATACATCTGTGGATACATCGCAAACAGGACCTGCTAATGGCTAATTCGGCATACTTTTGATGGTGCAAATTAGCTAGATGTAAACAAATGTAAGCTAGCATAAAACAGGTTAAGGTGCAACCCATTGCTAACTGACGTAGCAACAGTTAGCTATCTGTAACATCCCCAGATGCTAAACTAAAGCAGTGAACGTGGTTAGCATTATAGCTGATAAACATTAGCATGTTAGCATTGTCACTGTGAGCATGTTAGCATGCATGCATCACTGGATGACAAGCACGGCTGTAGATTTGTTTCAAAACAACTTTGTTGACAGGCAAAGATTTTATTTTAAATCTTCCAAGTTTAGCACTACATGGACTGAAAAACAGAAAGCTAGCTAGTTAGCATTTAGCTGCTAACATAGCTGTCCTTAGCTTAATTGTTAAACCAGTAATGTTTTTGTAACTTTGTATGAACTAAACTGGATTATGACATTACCGACGTGATCTCACAGACACGAGGACATGACATGAGCACGATCTCTCAACACTGCTCTACGTGTGGTGGCAGGTAATGTGTTAAATTACATGCTGGCAACACGGTTAACTTTATAGGCACAAAAATTACTTAGATTAGAAAAAGATTTTGCTTCCATTAGAAATAACTATGTTTGTTACGTACAGGGTGGCACGGTTGGGTTTAGGCCTAAACTACTTTGTTATGTTTAGAAAAACATTGTGTTTCCATTAAGAATAACTGTGTTTGTTACGCACAAGTTCGCACGGTTAGATTTAGGCCCCAAAACTACTTGGTTAGCTTTAGACATAGATTGTGTTTTTGGTTAAAATAAGTTTGTTGCGTATGGGACGAAAGTGCATCATAAATGTTATTACATATAGGATGTGAAGATAAAAGACGTCAGCGATTACTTTTAGATCCATAAGACACACGAACACTCGCATTCTCCTGGGTGAAAGTCCGTTGTTTGTTTGACATCTTTCCAACACAAACTTTCTCGCGCTTTTCGAACCTATGGCAGGTATACACAACTTGCTTCGCCCAGGGGCCACTTTTGCATCATGACAGAAGGCCAGGGGCCATTAAATGAATAAATATTGTATTTAATATGTAAATAATTAGCCCGGACTTCTGCCAGGAGTCCAGGCTGATCCTGCCCTGGCACTTTTTCTTGATAAACAATCTCTATATTGATGCTTTCATGCACTCTGACGCCTTATTTACATCAAAAGGACAAAAACATCCTGGTGTGAATCAATTGAAATAGTCAATGGGCCACCCAGCACTCTTGCAGGCAGCGAATTGAGTATCAATTATCGATGTGGTCATAAGATCTTTAATCACCGCCCATGGTGTGATGTTGAAGAACCAGAGAATTTGTTATTTTCCATTAGCATTGTTTCCATGGTGCTGTCACATAACTTTAACACATTAGCTGCCCCCACCATGTACCGCAGTGTTAACAGCTCTGTGAGATCATGCTGTACATTACATTTATTTAGCTGATGCTGTTATCCAGAGCACCTCACAAAAAGTGCATTCAAGCATGTGGGTACTTTTCAAAAAGTGCAGGAGCCTTAGATTGGACATCATGGGAAGTGTAATAAATGTCAGCGCTGCTCCTGAACGTTAAAAGCCAGTCAAACAAAAATAAGCTGATGCTAAATACAGCGTGAAGAGACAGTGAGACGGTGGAAGATACTGACAGTGCTGAGAGAGTTACGCAACAGTGTGTCAGTACACCTCTCTGCAACCAGACTGAGTGTTCCTTACAGACAAGTGGACGACCGCTGGTGTGTGTGTGTGTGTGTGTGTGTGTGTGTGTGTGTGTGTGTGTGTGTGTCTGTGTGTGGTTCTTGGAAACATGAGAGGACCCAGTCAGATCCCTGTCTCCATGGCAACTGCATCTTCCTCCTCATCTGTCTGTCCTTCTCACTTTCTTTCCTGCTATGGTGTTTTATTGTTTTTATATTTCATAATGCACTTTTTTTTATCACTGTTTTCGCCTCTCTCTCTCTCTCTCACACACACACACACACACACACACACATCCATCTGTCTCTCTTTGATTAAATCATGTCCTCTGTAACACACACACACACTCATGCACACAGGCATGAAGTGCTCAGGTGTGTCAGCGGTTATACGTTTCTACCTTTATGTTTGCATGGTTTGTTAGTTTGATGAGGAAGACGTGTGACATCTGCTTCACACACACACACACACACACACACACACACACACACACACACACACACGCAGCTTTAGCAGCCCAGTCAACAAACTGCATGTCATTTTGATATGTTTGCATGAGCTTGAATGTGAGAGCAGTGATAGAAATATTCAGCTACTTAAATTAGGTAATGAAGTACTAATAAGACTAAGATGATGACCTGAGTTTACTGAAACTATCAAAAGTGATCATTTTGCAGAAAATGTTCCACCTAGGACTGATAGATTATCACATGTGACATTAATACTGAAGCATGATTGTGAGACCTGGAGCAGTTGAGTGGTGAAATTTTTTTGTGCATTTGACAAAATTTTTCTACTAATTTTTTCTCTTGCCTCTAGTTTTATTTTAGATACATGTAGTGGAGTAAATACTTTCAAGTAAAATGTAGTGGAGGAGGAGGAGAAAGTGGCAGAAACAGAGATTTTCTGGCAGCGTTTTATGCTTGCATCGGAAATAGTATTCTGTTTTTAAAGTATGTTTCATATGTTCATTTGCCAACTTAATATTCATTAATATTATTGTTATCTCACTATATCTTACTATGTAATAATTAAAACTCTGTGTGTGTGTCTGTTCCACGTTTTTCTCCTCACTGACTTGGTCAATCCATGTGAAATTTGGCACAGTGGTAGAGGGTCATGGGAGGATGCCAATGAAGCAATATTACATCAATTGGCCAAAGGGGGCGCTATAGCAACCGATTGAAATTGCAAACTTTGAATGGGCATATCTCATGCCCCGTATGTCGTAGAGACATGAAACTTTGCACAGAGATGCCTCTCCTCATGAGGAACACATTTGCCTCAAGAACCCATAACTTCCACTTATATAGATTTTCAGCCATTTTGAATTTTTTGAAAAACACTTCAAATGGATCTCTTCCCAGGAAGTTTGAGCGATCTGCATGAAACTGGGTGAACATAATCTAGGGACCAATATCTAAAGTTCCCTCTTGGAAAAAGTTGGAAAACTTACTAAAACTGAGCTTCTATAAGGCAATGAATATTGCAGAGGGCGTGGCTCATCACATAAAGGTGTATAACATCTCAAGGGTTTCACCCATCACCACGCAACTTTGTAGGCATATGACCACACATAATCTGAGGGGACCCCTCCATTATTGACCCCATCAAACAAAATGGGGTAGCTAGAGAGCTCATTTCTTATCTAGGCCTAACCGCCATATGGATTTTTACTAAACTTGGTAAATATGTAGAACAGGACGCCTCAAGGTGACTGGAGAAATTTGACTCTAATTGGCAACTGGGTGGCGCTATAAAAACAGAAAAATGCTTAAAAATGGCTAAAATGCGACCGATCGCTGTGGCTCCCCCTGTGGACCAATGTTGTTGTTGTTTCTAATTTTTGGTATGACTAAGTCATGGTATGGTATGCTGTACATAATCACGGAAACTGTCAGTCGGTCATTCTGTCTGTCCCACGTTTTTCTACTCACTGACGTGGTCAATCTATGTGAAACTGCACATAGGCATTGAGGATTGGCATAGGTAGAAGGTGACAAAGCTACCAATGGGTATGGACTAGTTATTATTATTAGTAGTAGTAGTAATAGCAGCAGAATGTACAGTGTGTTGTTCTCACAGCTACTTTATATAGTGAACATTTTCGTGTGAATTTCTCCATCTCTGCAGATCTCTCCTGTTGGTGCTGTATGTACCTCAGATGAATGCAGTTATGGGTATATACTATATATGCTGCATTAGTGTGTGTGTGTGTGTCCACTAATGCGTGGGTGGGTGATGTGAGTCACGATTGTGGAAAATCCCACTCTCCTCCTCGCCCCTCCTCCTTTTTTCTGCAACCCGAGGCGATTAGAAACAAGAGGTGTCACTCTGCTGCTCTTCCTGCGGTCACAGTGACAGACCCAGCAGGACAAAGACGCTACAAACATGTGATGATCTTATAGAATATGATGCGTTGCTGTAGGTTAAACTACCCAACAGTATATGCAAGGATTAAAATGAGCACAACCTTAAACATCTGCAGCAGTAAAATAAAAAAAAAATCATTAAGAATTCATTAAGATGACAAACTGAGCCAAACCAATGTTTCGGTTTACTGAGACGTCTGATGAGTTTGAACGCTGAATGCAGATTCAGATGATGTCTCCATGAACTCTTCACTGGCTTTTAATGTGAAAGCCATTAAAGGATCGCACTCGCTGAAAGAGTTTTTTATTATAGAAGGAGGACAAGGCTGGCAGAGACTCCATGCTGAGCATGAACAATTACACAGGAATTAAAGGTCACACCAAACACTCCTCGTTTTCATCTATCGTTCATCTTGTCGTCTACGAAGCCAATGTCACCACTCTGTCCTCAGCTGCTACCATCTCTCTCTGCCTTTCCTCCTCTTCAGCAGCTCTATGCTCGCTTTCATATCGAAGCAGGAATCAAAGTTTGCTCTCATCAACGACTTTGAAGCAGTCGCCTCTTTCTTCTCTCTGGGTGGGTTCATAACACTAAAGTCTTTGTTTTTCTTTGTGTTTCCTGTTTACAGAAAGTCAGTGAGAAGGTTGGAGGGGCGGAAGGAACCAAGCTAGATGATGACTTCAAAGAAATGGAAAAGGTAGATTTATTCATTCACACTCACATTCACACCTATGGACAATTTAGAGTCACCAATTAACCAATCATCTCCTCAGCAGGTTTGTGTGCTTGTTTCTCACAATACTCCTGATTTTTTTGGTCCTGCAGAAGGTGGACGTCACCAGCAGAGCAGTGTTGGACATCATGACCAAAACCACAGAGTACCTCCAACCTAACCCAGGTAGGAAACGCACAGTGAAACTGACACAACATGCAGCTTGAAACAACACACCTGTGACTCATGATGTGACCCTCACCGCTCCGCAGCATCCAGAGCCAAGCTGAGTATGATCAACACCATGTCAAAGATCCGCGGCCAGGACAAGGGACCCGGTTACCCTCAGGCTGAGTCCGTCCTCGGAGACGCCATGTTGAAGTTTGGACGGGAGTTAGGGGAGGAGTCAAGCTTTGGTAAGTGGGAGGGTGCATAAATTCATCGTGGGAAGATGTCTGCAGAGGACTGTTAGCAAAACTGGTTTATTATTTCAACTTATTACAACAGAAATACAGTGATTTGCCTTTTTAATTTGTAGCTCCTGCCCAACATTAGGGGGGAACAAAGCTGCCATTATAACACATAAATAAATACATGACTGAGTAAAATGATAATAATAATAATGATAATAATGAAAAAAATTAAATAAAAATTAATATATATACACGGAAATAGAACATAAATGAATACAATGTATTTACTTGATAAAATACCTGTTTTTGTATTCATTAATTTTTCTAATTTACTAATTTGTTCTTTTCTGTTTACGTTTATTTCAGTTTTTACTATTTCTTCTTCATTATAATGGCATCTTTAGTCCTCCATAAAGAAGTGGCACACAAAACAAAATTTTATTTTAAAACTGACTAATTAATTCTTTTCTATCTATGTTTATTTCTGTTTTTACTAATTTTGTCATTTGATAATTTGATTTTTAATGAATAAATTTCAAATTTATTATTTTCTGTGTACATTTATTTCTGTTTCTATTTATTTCATCTTCATTACAATGGCATCTATAGTCCTCCATACTTTAATTGCGCACAGAATAATTTTTCATCATTTCCTTATTTATTCTTTTCTGTTTAAGCTCATTTTATTTTTCTATTTATTTCCCCTTCATTATAATGGTATTATTAGTCCTCCGTACAATGGTGGCACATTTAATAGAACTTTATTTTTATCATGTCTTAATTTATTGTTTCTGTCTACATTCATTTCTGTTTTTATTTATTTCATCTCATAATGGCATCTTTAGTCTTCCATACAAGAGTTTCAAGCTGACCCAAGCAGAAGTCATGTAAAACTGTCTATGAAAAAATGAGTATGTGTTTTTTTACTCTGTCCCATTTTCTTCATCCCTGCCTTCCAGGTTTAGCGCTGATCGATGCCAGCGAGGCGATGAAGGAGCTCGGGGAGGTAAAGGACGCTCTGGACATGGAGGTCAAACAGAACTTCATTGACCCGCTGCAGAACCTCCACGACAAAGACCTCAAAGAGATACAGGTAAATAAAACACCTGTTTATCTTAATGAATCAGACGTGTTCTCTGCATTGATTTTCATTTTCCTCTCCTGCCTTGTTTCCCCTCCACCACAGCACCATCTGAAGAAGATGGAGGGCCGCCGCCTGGACTTTGACTACAAGAAGAAGCGTCAGGGGAAAGTCCAGGACGATGAAATCAAACAGGCGCTGGAGAAGTTCGACGAGAGTAAAGAGATCGCAGAGCAGAGCATGTTTAACCTGCTGGAGAGCGATGTAAGGGTGCTCTCATGTTTCATTTTAATTTATGTTTTCATCATCGATTGATCTGCCAATTATTTTCTGTCCTAAGCCCCTCCCACCAGGCACCCGTGGGCATATCGCACTTCATTCAGTAACTCGGTGTTTCCCACATGTCGATTTATTTGATCTGATTTCACTGTAGAACTCTTTCTCTGTTCATTCGACCACAAATAAGACAAGAATTAGCTAGCCAGCTGCTGTGGCCCACTTCTCTGGGAGTTGAGTGGGCAGAAGCTTGGAAGCTTGGGCGGCTTGAATTCTACCAGCTCAAACCCCCTAGCGCCGGGTGTCAAAGCGCACTGATGGCCAGAGGCAGCACCAGGTCTAACCTTCGTGTCGGCAGCAACAGAAAGTTTGCTGATCCAGTGGGGAGTTTGCGCTGGTTGGATTCAGGTTGCTGCAACCGCTGACTCAGGGTGTGTTTCCAGAGCTGCCGCCCACTCTCCTCCCAGTGGGGTGGTCTGTAGTGGCAGGGAGTGAGGCGGAGAACCTACTGTGATTCATGGCTCTAGCTACTGTTAGCCATATAAAGCCACAGCCGTGAGCCTTTAGCTCTGGTTAGCAGAAGGCTAAAGTATAAGCAACATTTTCTCTCTATCTTTAAGAGGCTTCGCCAATATTGACACGTGTTTTCATCGTTTATTGTCAGACTTAGTGTTAGCCCTTTAAAAATGGACCTTTAAACACGTGGACGGACACGAGAGATCATTGTTGGCATGATCCTGTTTAAACAGATTTAAAATAAGAACCATAATAGCTAAAGCATTCAGTCTTTTAGCAGCAGAAAGCAAAGACTTCTGTCTGCCATGTCGTCATGTTAATGCTCGTAGTGACGCCATTACACAACGTCACGTGTGGTGCAAACCCCAAATGAACAATGAAACTATCACTACGCCTTTGAGCTCTGCTCATAAAAATGAGCATATCTCAAATACTAATGTACATAGTTCAAATAACTTATGGGGTGTTTAGAAATATTTTGTTTATGTTCCTCAATTTAAAAATCTTTTGGATCGATATGTTTTGTGATTTTATTTTGTAAAATCTGATGAAAACGTCTGATTTTTGTGTTTTTGTCATGACACAATGTCAATACTTTTATAAATTATTACAGTTTATTGACTTGTGTAACATTTTAGGTTAGGATGTATAGATTTTAGGGATGTGGCGCATTTGAAGATACTCTAACAAATGACATCACAATAAGCAAAAGTATCAATGTAGGCTCTGACAGACCATATCTACTGCTGGGTTCAAAGAGTTGCTCCGCAGTGTAGGCAGCTGTGTCCAATGCTGGGACAACAACTTTCTCCGCAGGATTCTCCGCCACTGAGTCAGGCTTTCACCATCTGAAGGAATCATCTGCATTTGTAGAACAGCCAACAGGAACGCTCTCTCTCTGAAATGATGTGTGATTGGCTCCCATCTCCCATCATAGGATAGATTTTCTGAAGCCTGAAAACGGAGCCAAGAGGAGGTGCAGAAGTCTAGTTTTCCCTCCAACCACAATTGTACCATGCTCAAAGGTTATTATGAGATTTCTGTCCAATGACGCCAACATTAAACTGCGTTGAAAGTCCAGTAAATGTCTCTGCTCCAGTGAGTGATGACAGTGGACGTTTACTGCAGAAGAAACAGCTAATTGATTTGGAAAAACAACGACAAAAAATCAAATGGAAACAGAAATCTAATCAGATTAATCCCCTGAGGGGAAACATCATTTTTAAACCGCAATGAATCATGAAAACAACAAACGTGGAAATCATAATAGAAAATGACTCAATATAATCAAATATTCACTGTGATGATTGTGGTTGACATTGTTTTTTCTGTTGCTATGGTTACAACTACTGGAAAACAAAGGGCAGTGATCCTGCGCTGTGCCATGCTGTGTTGCAGCAGACCCCGGCCCAGCATGGGCACAGAACAGGATGTGCTGCAGTAAAAAAAAAAATAAACTATGCATGTGTGTGTGTGTGTGTGTGTGTTGCAGATAGAGCAGGTGAGCCAGCTGGCAGCGTTGGTTCAGGCTCAGTTGGAGTACCACACTCGCTCTGCCGAAATCCTCCAACAGCTCTCCAGTAAGATGGAGGACAGGTATTGATCCCTCTGCCCACCTGTGATAAAAATAACCCAATAAAAGAAGATTCACGTGGTGAGACGAACCTTTTTTTAAACTGTGTCTGGCCTTTACCCAGGATAAAAGAGGTGTCCAATAAACCGAGGAAGGAGTACACTCCGAAACCCCGAATGACCCTGGAGCTGCTGCCCCCCAGCGAGAGCCACAACGGAGGGATACACTCGGCCAAATCACCAGGAAGATCACCAGGTACAGGGTGGGAGAGCAGTCTGGGTGGGAGAATGAGAGTTTGACCACATCAAAGACCTTTGTGTTATTTCTACAACAGCTGTTGACTTTTAGACTCATCATATCTGCTTTTTAGTCAAACAGCCTTCTGCTAGAATCAGACAGACATAATCACAGCAAGTCTGTATTTATCATTAGAGCTGTGTCGATGTGTGTTTTTTGCCCCAGAAGAGTCCACGAACGAGGACAACAGGTCTATGTTAAGCAGAATGAAGTATAAGGTGCAGTAAACCCACAATGTGATGTCCTCATATGGGGACGCAGGGTCTCAGGAGGATATTGACATATGACATGTACTTCAACATCATAATCAAATTCTTGAAGTTCAGTCATGGCTTTTGGGTTTGGTGGGCCACTTCAAGATTTTTAGTCACCCCCTCTGGCTACCCCTATGACAAATTTCTGGGGGGCACCACTGCCCACAAAGGGCTTGAAACGTGTCAGCTCAGCTCATATGACCACTAGAGGTCGTCGCATTCCATTCACAATTCTTATACTGTTTGTGTCTGTCCCCCCACAGCCCCCATGGACCAGCCCTGTTGCCGAGCACTCTACGATTTCGAACCAGAGAACGAAGGCGAGCTGGGCTTCAAAGAGGGCGATGTCATCACCTTGACCAATCAGATCGATGACAACTGGTACGAGGGCATGATCAACGGCCAGTCGGGCTTCTTCCCCATCAACTACGTGGATATCCTGGTGCCGCTCCCTCATTAGGTCCCGCCAGTGATCTGGCCCTTAACCCCTTCGACCAATCCAGACACCCCTGAAAACAGCCTGTATTTGCATAAAAAAACAAACCACGCCCTCCTTCTACTTCTTCTTCTGTGCTTCTGTGCGATTCTGCTTTCACAAAACGGACTGAAATGACTGAGATGAAGACGGGGTGGATGAGACGAGGCAGTAGGACAGTGAAGAAGAAAGGGGGAGGAGGATTTTAGCGTGAGAGATGCAGAAGAGAGGTAGAAGAGAGGGATTGAGAGGGACGAGAGGACGAAGAGATGATGATCTTTTACAGCGCTTACTCACTCGTGCTCCGCTCAGCCGGGCAGCACTGGAAACCAATGAGGCTTTGGAGACTTAAGGCACGGTGTAAATGTACGTGCATGTATGTGTCTGTATGTGCATTTCGACCTGTTCTTACTCTATTATGACCGAGCCAGCACAAAGTCCTGCTTGACAGCTTTTTTTGTGATGCTGTCTTCTTCTTCTCTTCTTAAGTTTCTTGCTGTTTTTCTCTCAGAGTACTTCTGTCTTTTCTACCTTGACTTGCCTTCCTGTGCTCTTCTTCAGCCCTAGATTTCTCAGCAACTGTCACAGTCTTTCCCACTTTCTGTCTTTCTTTCTTTCTCTCTTCCCTCCTTGACTAGCACTGCCTTTCAGCATGGCTCCATACTGTATGCAGGCCTCTAAACCATGTTTCAGAGCTACATTAGGTCACCAGACCCTTCTACTTTTGTTTAAGTATCTCTCGTACTCTTATAACATACTCTCAGCTCAGTGGCTGTATGCATGAACCAGCCAAATCAGAAATTTGAGTGGTAAGATGCTATGTGAGATGTAGTTTTCGGGAGAGTACCTTTGAAACAAAGCCGTATCTGCAATAAGTAGATTTTTCCAGAATGAAAAAGAGAATACTTGATCACTTGTTCTGAAAGCCATTTATCATATAAGGTTTTAAAGGTGTGAGGATCGGAGGAGTCATTCAACACATCATTAAACTTGTAAGCTCCAGAGCTGAAAAGTAAAGCTCTCTCATGATTTACCAGACAGCAGCGACATGTTAACACAATCCAGGACAGGCCAGTTGTATTGAACATAACTTTTTCGCCAGGTTGGTTCCTCCAGTATACATAGAGGAAAAGATGCTTTTTTTTCTCCGTGTACTGCTCTCAGTCACCCATTCACGGTGTTTTGTGTGTACTGTGTGGAGTAAATGGTTGTTAACTCGTCTTATGTGTGGCTCTTGCATGCAGGACTGTGTGATCAGTGGTAGCCATTCTAAAATCACCAGTTTTAGTCCTCTTTCTGCAGTTATCTGGAGGAAGGCTGCTGCTCAGTGGCCCCTTAAGAAAACAGAATGTCATTAATATTACATTAATAAGACATCAGATTCCAGAATGGTGACAAAATTCGAAAACCTTCAGACGGCTCTTAGCATCTTTCAAATTCTAGAATCTCAGCAACATTCTACACTTCGCAGAACATTATCTGGGTCTTTGTAAAATTCTTCAACCTAAATATTTCAACAATGGCATTCTCGGAACCCATCGGCTGTATTCGCCGTCTGACTTCCAGTAGACGGCGATTTTTTGGCATTCCGGTTTGATTTGGGTGGAGGAGGCGAATTTTCGTTTCCGACTTCCGTTTATATATAAGTAAATATGCTGAACCATTGCGATGGATTCAGAGTTTGCAGTGACGCCAATTATGTTCCGCCTCGTTAGTTCACCGCACGGACTATTTAACCTGGCAACAACTGCAGCCGGCTCAAACGTGATTGGTCAATATCACGCGGACTACAAACAGCCTACAACCGGAAACCAGGGCTCTTCCGCTCTTCTTCCGGAGGCAAGATCTCGGGGGTTTGCCTACAGACTCTACATTCACTGAATGTAGAGTCTGTATATTGAGACTACAACAATGGTAACTTGACCTTGGGGAACATTTTAGAACCTTGACAAAATATTTGCCCTAGGAATAATCTAGAAATGTGTTACCATTGCGGAATCTTGATAACATTCAAGAAACTTTTGAACTAAATAAGAATGTTTCTGGACTTCGTGAACATTCTCGAGTGTCAAAACTTGGCAGCGTTCTCGCCCTCAGAATGATCTGGAAATGATTCATCATTCTGGAATCTTGATAATGTTCTTGAGCACCCTGTTACCTTTAAGAAACTTTTGAACGTTATAGTTTCTTGGTGACATTTTGAACTGTATATGAATGTCTCTAGATCTCATAAACATCCTGGATTGTTCTCATATGTTGCGGCGTAATCAGAACATTCTAGATCCTTGACAGCGTTCTTCTCTCTAGAATGATATAGAAATGTTTTATCATTCTGAAATCTCGATAACGTTAAAGAACGCTGCATTACATTTAACTTTTGAGGTATATAGGTCCCTGGTGAAATTTTGAACTGTATACGAATATTTCTAGACTCTGTAAACATCCTGGAGTGTTCTCATATAGTCAGGAGTAATGGAAACATTCAAGAACCTTGACAGCGTTCTTGCCCACACAATGATCTAGAAATGTTTTATCACTCCAGAGTCTCGACAACGTTCAAGAACGCCCTGTTATACTTAAGAAACTTTTGAACTTAACAGTTCCTTGGTGACATTTTGAACTGTATAAGAATATTTCTAGAATTTGTTTACATCCTGGAGTGTTCTCATATTTTCAGGCATAACCAGAACATCGTAGAACCCTTAAGACAAGAATATTCTAAACAGTTTAGCAGTTGGTATTGGTGTTTCCTGTTAGCCATGCTAGTTCCCTGGAGGAAGCGTCACATACAGAGAAAAGCAGGACTTCCTTGGTGGCTGTAACTGAAGAGCTACCTACTGTACACATTTGTATGTCTCAGAAGTGTTCATCATAAGGCAGTATTAAATAGTACTAATAATACTCTGAGAAAGACCTTGTGAAAAAAGGTCATTTATTGTTAAAGGCTGTCTCGTAATTCAACTATTTACCACTGATTTCACATTAATCACATTGACCTTTTAATGGCAGTGGAAACCATCAGCTCGTGTTTTACCTTTGATAGCAGCAGAACATTTTTAACATTTGGATGTTACTGTTTTTTGTCTCATGTTGAACCTTGAAGCTTGAACACTAACAACTGTTAGTAGCTACAAGACAAGCCGACAAGTCTTACAATCAAGAGAGATGACTCCATTTGAGTCAACGGAAATGTTCCAGCAATGTTAAGAGATCTGTTTAATTGTATTCTTCCGTACTTATGTTTTGTTGGTCTGTTAAAATCAAACATAGGACTTAAGAACTTTCTGTTACATTCATGACTTGATGGAGAGGACATTCAGTGTGGTGCTGGGTTTATATCGACTCCATTGTACATAAAACATCTGAATAGTGTCAAAGACTGGAGGTCTGCCGTACTCAGAAATTCTCTGCTCTGGTGTACACAGGAAGCTAAAGCTAATCACCTTGATGTTTGTTCTCATTTACCATGCTAACATTTCTAAAAATAAAAACTGACATTTAATGAATATTATATTTGATATTAAATGCATAGACTGTGTTGTTAAATTAAAAAGCCTAGGGTTTTTCTGTTCAGGCATTATTTATTAATTTGTCAAACAACAGCAGGAGTGTGTGCTAGCACGGCTAATGCTAATGAGCCAGATGCAGCTAACCAGCATTTCGCTTCACATTCCCGTACTTGTGTTTTGGTGATGCAGAGTTGAGCAGAATACTTAAAAGTAAAAGTATTTAGTGCCTGAATATCTCATCCTAAATGTAAGAGTCTGTTAAAATACAGAGAAATGTCACATATTTAAAATTAATTTGGCATCCATTGTTTAAAGGACGGTTTATATGTAAAATGGTTGTGCTTTGCATAATTTTTGTCACATTTTCTTCCTTTTCCTTACTGTGAAAAATCACTGACATATATTTAAGTATTACTGTGATGTATCACAATAACAGCCATGCTAATTTCTTTTAGCATGGGCTTTATGAGCATGGACTGGACCAAACTTTGCTTCAACCAAAACCTAATGTTTACTTATGTCAGCGATAATGACTCTTTAATTCAAAAATTAACTCCCTGATTTTACTTGGTATGTTGTCACTTTTTTCCAAACCCAAAATCCACCACTGCGTAATGCACACTGGAGAAAAATGTAGCTTGTTTCAAAACAAGACATCTCATGTCACGTTCAGCATATAGGTATGAGGTATCAAAGTATTCATAGATTTTATTAAGAACCTTTTGGTGTTTAAAGATGTACAGATACTTCTTATTTTGTGTTCCGAAGGTGTATTCTGAACATTGCATTACAGCAAGTTAAGACAGTCCATTATCCAATAGCCATAAAATAGGCTGATCGTGCCGGCTTTTCACAAGTTAGCTGACGACAGTAATAATTTATCAGGTTTGCCGCAGAGAAGAAAATATTTTATAAAATGTTTGAGCATGGGCAAGTTTCAGAGTTCCTCTTGAAAGCTATAATGGTGTTTCGACACAAATAATAACAAAGAAAAATAAAAAAAAACTGCATTTTTAACCGTAGATTAAATATAATCTATCAGCAGTCAATAATTATTGAATACAAAGGCAATAATGATGATCTAACAATAAAATCTAATGTTTTAATAAAAGAAAGAGATGGTTCTGAGGGAAAACTGTGGATTTATCTCTGGAGCTGCACCACTTAGACATCTCTTGCATTGCCAAAGCACACAGTATGTGACAGCAACACAATCAAACTAACACTCGGTAACTTACTCGCTTTCTGCCACATGCCGGCTTCTCTGTAACTCTTCCAGGTTGTTGTAAAAGACGGGGGTTTGGAGCACAACTGTGTTCAGTGTTTTTATTTTTGATTTTCTTTGTCTGTTTGTTCCGAGTCTGAAACTTGATTTTCTTGAGTCCGCCTGTGGAAAGTCTGTGAGCTGCATGCAACTGAACTACTTTACGTCTTTATGGCTGTTTGAGATGGTTTTCCAAAAAAATAACAAGAAAACAAAACAGAATGGGGAGATATTTGTCCTGCTGGAGCCTGTGTGAACTCATACTCCTTATTTTCTATTGTTCAGTATTTATTTTTTATCTTTTGACTTGCTTGAGCTATATTTGTATAGCACTCCTCTCCGATTACAAAGTGCTTTAAGGCCTTTTGAATTTAATGTGTTTATTTATTTTGCACCTTCTCCAAACAGTTTTTTTTCTGGTCTTCTCCTCTTTTATTTGTATTTTCTCTTTTTTTTTGTGCTGATTTGCCCTCTATGGCGACATGTATTCTAACCTCAATGAGGGACTTGTACAGTGTTACGCTCCATTTTCCCTTTTCACCTTAATGAGAGTTGGACCTCGGCCACGTTACCTGCCTCGGTTTTAATTTCAGCATTGCTCTCAGATTGTCAGATCAAGTAAAATAAATCCAAACCAAACCTGCAGACTGAAGCTTCAGCCGTCCAGACTTTCCTCAGAAGTAAAGCAGCTCTGAAAATAGAAATATTCCAACTGGTTTAGCTAAACTTTCGAAGGTATGGAGGTAGATTTGTCTCAGTATTATTCGCGTGAGCACATCGACAACCCTTGTGTAAATGTGTAATCTGTAAATATAAAACAACTCAGACAAATCAACTCACAAAAATATTTTGCAAATATAAAACAGATCTGCAAATACACGAATAAATTAAAAAAAACTCAGTGTGTGTTGGATTGAAATCCACTAGTGTAAAATTGAGATTTAAAAAATAATAATAATTTGATTTACAAGTATCTGTTCAAAAGTTGTAGATGTGAAATGCCTTACATTTATTTGTAAATTAATTTAATGTATTTCAAGATATTTTGTGTTTTATATTTGCAAAATATTTTTTTGAATTTACAAATTTTACTTTTTTTGTATTTGTGGAAAGTGTATTAGATTTACAAATTACACATTAGTGCACAGATTGTCAATCTGTTCACACAAATGATGTTGAAACAAACGTATCTCCATACCTCAGAAGTTTGTATCAGGCTGTCGTTATATTCATGTGCCGCTTAACACATGCTAGAAAATTGGGGACACAGGAAATCTACATTAATCTCAAAACTCCATATTTCTTATTTTTATGAACTTTAAAAGCTCATGGTCTTTGCAATTAAAGTTCAAGAGCAGTCTTTGAGTACGTCAGATTTGCCATGTTGAATCAACCACAAGCTAGCAACCCGTTAGCTTAGCTTAGCATGAAGACTGGTAACAAGGGGAAACAGCTGGCCTGCATCTGTCTTGAGGTTAAAAACTTAAATGAACATTCAAGAGATAAAATAATTTGTTACAATAAAAAAACAATTCTCATTCATCAGGTATCTTATTGAGTTATCTGTTTAGCTAACTTTTGCGCCTTTCTTTAGGCCCCACCCACCAAGATTTAACTGAACCAATGGGATTTCTCCTGCTGTCGTAGCTGCTTTGCAGTCTGCAGGTTGCTAACGTGGCCTTGGTCTGGCCTGTGGCTGTGTGACATTATACTGTATGCCTTGTGGCTGTAAAATAGCCCCCTATGCCTATGGAACCTGGTGTCTTCTGGTGAGCTACACGTGTGTATGTGAGTATATACACACACCTCGTTGCTATTTATTTATTTATTTATGTAATGTATGTATTTATTTATTTATTCCTGTGTCCTATTTATTGGTTCGGCACCTGTGGCGTATTTGACGATTGTCAATACATTGGTGTATGATGTGGAGGAGGGGGTGAAGAGGGGATATTTGGGGGTGGGGGGGGGTGTGGTCAGTGGAAAAACCTAGCTGTGATACTAACTCTAACTGTTGCTCTCCTCGTATTGGACGGTGATATAATCTAAGACCACTGTATGTATAACTGCTTGTCGTGAAGATGATCTACAATGTAATGACAATAAAGAATTAACACTATGATGACACTGCAGACAACCAGACTCCAATCTGTCCTTCATCGGTAGATAGCACCTCACATGAACTCTGTATTTAGGAAGCATGTACAGTGACTTAATACTTAAAGGAACAGTGTGTAAGACTGAAGCCCCGTTTGCACCAAACACTTTCGGTATGGTACCTTTGGAGCAAACAGTAACCCTTCAGACATGGTACCTAGACCCTAGCGTTTCCACTGCAAACAGTCCTCTTAAATGTGGGCGGGGTTGTTGTCACTCACTGCTCCGTCCAGCACTCACTGTATTCTGCTCCTGCTCCTCGTTTATCGTCCACAGAACGAGGCTGCACGCCGACATTTTCAGAACAAAATAGAACAGGCTGCAGTGAGAGTCTCTCTCTCCATGGGATATTTAAAAACAGCAGCTTTGTGCATTTAGTCCTTCTCAGGCAAGCTCAGGGGTTTAGTGTTGCTGGAGCCCACAGGAACAACACTCTGTGATGCTCAGATTTAGTGGCATCTAGTGGAGAAGACTGCAGATTTTAACCAGCTGAAACTTCTCCCAGTTAGAATTCATAAAGTGTTTATCGTTCAGGTTTTTACAGGGAGCCGAATTATCCGCTAAGGTCTCCTCCTCCCAAAAACAAATGGCCCACGTGATTAAACCGGTATACACACTTAAGAAAGCAGTGTCATGTTACAGATCAGTGTTTCTCCTATGCTGTTATGCATGTCTGAGGCAGTCCGTTGACCCATCACCTGCTAATGTGTGCTCACCTTTTGTCTTTGATAACTTGAGATGCAGACATTAAAGAGGTTTTTACTTGGAATCTTCCTCTCCAGAACAAACGGACCAGGTGATTTGAACTGGTAAAAACCAACACTGTCCAACACTGTTATTTTGCATTTAATTTATTGGCAAGATCAGTTTCCTCAGTCATGTGAGCACTCTGATGCCCCCAAGTGGCTGCACCTGGAGTCCCACGTTATGAGACACGGTTCTCTTTCAGCTCTGTTGTTTTCCACCATGGATTATCCAGTACATCTGTCTGAAGATAGTTTTGTCAGAATTTTTAAAGCACATCAAAAGTGTTCTTCAAGCTCCTAAATTCTCTGCATATTCTCCTATTTGTTTTAATCATAATTTTACCCCATCACAGTCTGACCAAGCTGCAGATCTGTACATAAATAATCATTTTGCATCTTTCATTGAGCTGAAACTTTATCTCTTTCTCAAACCTTTTTTTTTGTTATTCACAAGTCAGACATTTTGTTGAAAATAATCTTAAAAACTCTGAAAACCAACCAAAGGAATTCATTCTTTTTTTTGTTTTGATGAAACAACATCCTGGCTCTAAACATCTTGTCTTATAATCTGTGTCCTTGTTTTCTAATGTGACTGTTGTTTCTTCAAACCAGTTTAAATCTGCATACATTACATCATTCCAAAGAAAAGATTGACAAAATATGTCCTAATGTATCTGCTATCTGTGACAGATGTTACTTCACAAAAGGTACTCTTGGTCATACTTCCTGGTTTTGTCCTGAGATTGTTCCTTTTGACAGGATCTCTTTGGACATTTGGACTGAACTTGACCCACTGCTCACCCTGTTTGGCTGTTCCAAAGCTTCTCTTGCTCTGCCAATTACTGCACAGAAGTCCCTGATGGTTCGCATGTTAGCAGCAATGTGAATTATTCTAAAGGAATGGAAGGCTACCAGTGCTGTCTGTTTCTCCAGATCAGGGGTGGCAAACTCATTTTAGCTCAGGGGCCACATGCTGCTCACTGTTTAAATTGCTCCTGAAACCTCTCAGCCTTCACATGTGCATCAACTTTAGCTGTGCAAAGTCATCTAAAGGGCTTGACTGGACCCTTTGGTGGGCCGGTTCTGGCCCCTGGGCCGTATGTTCTAGGCAACTGGTCTCGGAGTTTCACTTTGGGAGACTCAAACTATTCATTTATTTTTATTTTTTTCTTGTTTTTCTTTTTGTATGTGGAACGAGTATGTTTCTTAGTTTGTTTGTACATGTAATGTTGTTTTTTGGATGAAAATCAAATATTACATAAGGATATAATAAGTACGGAATACTACCTAAACTGTGTCAGTAGCTGCGGGGCTCTTGAGTCTGAACACTTGGATGTTATTGAACGCAGCCATCAACTGTTTTTGTTCGTGTGATGAGCCAAAATGGCCGCTGGAGGCGCGGTGGATATGATATGTGTTTTCCCCCTGCGGCCGTTTCCCTCCTTTTACAAATCAATATATTGTGCGTTCAGGCACTCCACAAAAACTCAAATTTTATATCTCCAGAGTGGCAGATTAAGACTTTTCGCGGTAAATCAAGCGCGAAGGTGAGATTTGCTGTTAGAGAAGGGATTTTCACAAGCGTACAAATAATAATTGTCAAAATATAAGCTTTAGAACACGTTTGTGATACTTTATTCTTCTATGCTTCTCAGAATTCTGATACCTTCGCAGGCAGTGAAGTAGCACACGGCTTGACCCACTTTTCGCGCACGCCACTGGAACGTCGGCACCATCAAGCTCTACAAAAAAGATAGCGACACACCGGAAGTGAAATACTGGGCCTTTAAAATAAATGATAAACTGAGCAACTCAATATAGGCGTTATAGGCCACTAGACATCTCTAACAATTATCAGTTACCCAATAGGCGTTGAACTGCAGTTAAAAATACACTTTATTTCCAAAATATGCCTCATGGGCGCTTTCCGCTGAGCTCACGACACTTTTACTTTGAAGTCGTACCCGGAAGTCGTACTTTTTACTCTAGCTAGCTTCACGCTGGTTCCGCGTGTTGATACTGAAGAGAGAGGACCGAGGAGAAACAAGTTTTTCGCATCGCAGAGATCCAAACTCAGGCAGAAACCAGAGGAAAATGGAGATGAAGAAGAGGGTTGGGTTAGAATTGAGGAACCGGTCACCGACAGAGGTGAGTAGCCCGGTTTGTGTTGTTGTTTATCGGTTTGCGGTGTAAACTTCACCGGCCGGAGAAGGAGGGGTGGCGAGCACATGGCAGGGAGTCTGCAGGTCCCGAAAAGTGCCTTAATGTACATTTACTGCTTAAAGCGAAGCTGATATATAAAGTGTGGGAAACGATTTTATCAGCTTCCGTTAAGAACTTTAATTCGCATCCGGAGCTCGGCAGTTTAATGACGGGTAAACAACCGCGGTGCGCAGCTGTTTACCGCCTTGTTTTCATTTCTATGCTCACACTTAATATTAAATAGCTCCAAACTGCAGCGCACGTCGGTGAATTCATGGTTACAAGCTGCATGTGTGAAACTAAACTTGCACGCACCTCCTGTTACAGCAATGGAAGGCACAATGTGTCTCCAGGGCCTGACTAATATCTGGGGCCGTATTATTTCAAAGTTATGAGGCGGGTTATGTCTGCGTTGCCTAACGCGGCACACGCTCTAAACACACAACCGCCTTTATTGTATTCTGTGATCAAACTAAATTGGCCATTGTAGTTACGTAATCGTGGAACAAGCTGAGATAACGTTAGCAGGCAAAAATGTCTCGTCACGACATCCGTTGTTAACGTTACGCTCAGCAGACGCGGAAAGCAGGAAATGCGCGTTGTTTCTCGCTCCCAACACGTACACACGTTAAATAATTACATATTTAATTTTATTTTAAACTCGAGTTTAGTCTGTTTTAACAAAGCCCAGTTTATACATTTAAAAACTCAAACTGGCGTTGTTGATATTGTCGCCTCTCCAGAGATTAGTCGGCGCCCTTGCGTGCTAAGGGCGCGTAGCCAGCGGCGTGCTAGCGCTAGCTTGCTAAAGTGGCTACTACTCTAATGCGCCCTTGTGCTTGTGTCGCTGTTATTTCTCCCCTAAACCCATATAAACCGTGTTATCTTCCGCCTGGCTCACTCTGGGGGCCATTACATGAGATAATCAGTGAGAGGAAGAGTTAGCAGAGCGCTAGCAGGCGAGCTAACTTTGCAGCGTCACATGTGCTGGGAGTTTATAAACAGAGTGTCGGCCGGGATCCGTTCCAATATGAAGCCGCACAGGAGTCCTGTGCACTCAGACACAGGCTGTAACTCCTCCTCCGTGGTGCACTCGTGTCTTAGTGATATCCTGACAACTTGGTTTGTATTAAAGAGGCTGCAGCAGCTTTAGTTTTTCAGCTTAAATGCATTAAATTAACTGGTTGTCAGTCGTGAGTATTTCCTGGTTTTGCAGATTCATGTCGCATCATTGAGATTTGTTCTCTTGATGGGATAAAGTAATATATTTGAATATGACCGTTTGGGCTTTGGTTGTGCTGTACTTATAAAAAAAATAAATCATTGTCTGTTGCAGCTCTAGTTATCTCATTAGGGCTGGATTTTGTTGTTTGATACATGTAGGGCTTTAAAGCTTCAAAGCTGCATTCGTTGCCACGGTAATCAGTGTCCAAACCAGTATTCGAATGCTCCATTTTTGTATCGGCCTTCCATTACCCTCAAAATACCAATTAGCTCACAAAGTAAGAAATATTAATCCAACATAATTCATTAATTATTTTAAGAAAAGGGTATTTAAAGAGATGGTTCAGATTTTTACATCAAGCAGTTCAGTTTGGTATGATTTGTTCTGTCTCCACTGTAAAAAGTCGTGGATGGTACCAGTGGAATCGTTCCTTAAGCCTCCATTTTTTTATTTTTTTTTTTGGCGGGTACGTGGCACACAGTTCTGGTGCAGAATGACACCAACTTTTAAGGCGGAGCGTTTAGTTGTAATGTTACTCACTGCATGAGTTGACGAGGTGAATCCACCAGCACACCTTAAATTTCACTGTGACAACTTTGACCATCACTTTAGTTTTAATGTCTCTTTTGGATGAAATACAGTTTTAGTAATGAGGGAATCTTCAAGCATTCAAAAATATATATTAATTTCGACTGGATTCTGTGAACTGAACATATCTGGAGGGGGAAAGCATCGTGGAGCGTCGTTCCTGTGGGCTACAGCAACACTAAACCCCTGAGCTTGCCTGAGAAGGACTAAATGCACAAAGCTGCTTTTTTTAAATATCCCATGAAGAGAGACTCTCACTGCAGTTTGTTCTCTTTTGTTCTGAAAATGTCGGTCGTGCAGCCTCGTTCTATGGACGATAAATCAGGTGCAGACTTCCACCTGTGTCACCGCTGGTAAGAAAATGCAGCGAGTGCTTGACGGAGCAGTGAGTTACAACAAGTCCGCCCACAATAAAACAGCTTTTGTTGCAGACCCCCGTCTTTAACTTCTGTGTCGGACTCCAGCCTCAGTGTGTAGTCAGTGGATGAGTACCCCACACAATAAAATTGAACTATCCCTTTAAACTTAGTGACACACAATAAAAATAAAAAACATCAACACATATCAGGACTAAATAAAACTGTGTAAAGCAAACAAGAAGGCTGAAACTGGTGGGCATACAGGCCAAAAAAAAATCTAGCAAAGCTGTCAACCTTTCTTTGGTATATCTAGCACTTGACTTTTTGGGTGGGCAACAGTATTCTGTTATTGAATCAAAGAAGCCAACAAGTAAAAATGTGTCCAATGGCTGCGAAGGACCTTTTTGTCAATTAAAGTATTATCATTTTAATTTAATTCAGTGAATATCTGAGGAAAGAATACGTAATTTAAGATTTTTAAAAATTCTGCATGGGCTTGACTGTTTATGATACGTCCCGTCACCTCTAAATAAATTCTAGTAAACGGTTGTAAGTGTAGTGGAAACTGTTTTGTGCTCTTGTCTCTGTGACTCATCTTCACTTTTGATCACAAAGCAGCTCGTAGGTGTAAAAATGACTATGTGATTTAGTCATACTGACACCACAGCGGGCAGAACAAGAACGTACAATCAGTTTGAAACAGATTTCTGTGTAGCGGTGCTGCATGTGCCAACAGTTGTTAAAGAAAGAGACCAGTTTCAGCTTTGATTTGATTATTAAGAAAGTAACTTTCACTGTCAGTTGTTTTAGTGTGAATGAATCAGCAGTGTAGATGGATCGTTTCTAAACTCTGCCTTCGACCCACGCTGACTAACTCCTCTCCTCATCTTCAGGTCCAGGAGCTGGTTCTGGACAACTGTCGCTCTGGTGAAGGGAAGATCGAAGGAATCACAGATGAGTTCTCAAATCTGGAGCTGCTCAGCCTCATCAATGTCGGCCTGACCAGCGTAGCAGACATCCCCAAACTGGACAAACTCAAAAAGGTAAGGGAAGCAAACGTACCCAGCCTGGACAGTGTCAGAAAGATTCATGTTCATGTTGTTGTATGTCAAGTATTAATATAAATGTTTTATGAGCATGTGGCTGTTTGGTCAGCGTGGTCGTCCTTGTATCTAGTTCCTTCATGTGTTAAGATGTCCAAAGTTGTCGAGCTAAAAAAAAAAAATCGAATCAACTAAAACTTAATCTGGAACTTTTTTTGATTAAATTGCCAAGCAAATATTCCAAATATTCTCCGGCCCCAATGTCTTGAATGTGAATTTGATTCCTGTCCGTTCTTTTGTTCGTCCCATTCATGTGAACGCGATATCTCAAGAACACCTTGAGGGAATTTCTTCAAATGTGGCACAAACGTCTACTTGGACTCAACAAGATCAGAGGAGCCGCTGAATGAAGCCTGATTTATGGTCCTGCGTTAAATCAACGACGTACCTACGTTGTTGCCGTGACGTCGTCATGAACCCTTCGAACTTCTCCGTCACTCCATTTCATCGCGGTGCAATTCACCGCCAGAGCAGTAGGGGGCTGCGTTCCTTTCCTGAATGGTTATCGTCGTCTCTAGTTGATTCTTTGTTTAGCTTCCGGCTTTTCCAGAGAGTGAGAGAGAGAGAGAGAGAGAGACTGACTTGCTGGAGTTGGAGTTGTTGGATGTTGAAGAAAGTATGTTAATACTGCAACATCTACATCGCAACAGAAGATGTTTAAAGATGGCAGGGATGGCGCAATCTGGAAATACGAAACCGGAAATGCGTTGCTACCAAGCAAACCAATCACAGCCCTCTCGGTCTGTGCTGGGTCTGCGTCACCTCGACGTGTAGTTACATTTTTTGCGAGGTGCACGTCAGGCTACGCCGGGGGCTACGGCGAGCCTCCTGTGTAGCCACGTACCCTACGACGTAGGTACGTCGTTGATTTAATGCAGGACCATAAATCAGACTTGAGTTTGAGAAAGACTCCGAGAAGTCCGGAGCTGTTCATAAAACATTCTGGTCGCCACAGTTTACTCCACACTACTGAAGCTGCTCCCCTTTTTGGAGCCACCGCGTAGTTGCCAATAATTTTGCTTTCAGCCATGCTTGTTGTTGCCGTGGGTAACAGTGTGATGTCATATGTCAACAAGCCGAAATATCGCGAGTATCATGATAGGAATTTTTTCTATCAAATTGAAAAATTTACTAATATTATCGCAAAGGAGATGATATGACACAGCTCTATGAGGGGGTTTCTAAAATTTGGCACAAACGTCCACTTTCACTCAGAAAAGAACTGATTACAGTTTGTGGGGTTGAAGGTCAGAGGTCACTGACACATTTTTGGCTATAACTTAAGAATACATACGCTAGCTACGATAAAATTTCACGCAAACGTCGAACAAGATAAAATGACAAATTGATGATATCTTATATCCAGTTCCAGTGTAACATTGGACTCTGGGATTTGATACAGCAGTATCGCGATAATTTTGTGACAGATATCGTATCGTCACACAGTGCCAAGTATTGCTTTTTTTAAATTATACAAATGATTAATATTGCAAATTCAAATGATGAAACTTTAGGTAGCATATTGTAATAATAATAATAATAATATAATCAATTATGTTTCAGTCCACTAGATAAAAAATGACTTATTAATCTTATTAGATAAAACAGATGTTGACAAAGTTTTCCTTTGCAAAGTTTTTCCAAAGTTAAAAAGTAATATATTGCAATATCTTCTATCACAATACTCAGCATTTTGCAACACATTTAAAATCATAATAATATCGTGTTGTGGATCCTCTGGTGATTCCCACCCCTATTTACCACCACTGCTTATTGACATTTTGTAGCCAAAACAATTAATTGAAAAAATAATGACAAACCTTTTAATCATCATTTATGGTATTTGAACTTCTCTGTGTAGCAAAGCAGTCGTGATTATTGTTGTTGACTCAGACAGCTTTAAATTGGAAGTATTGCTCCAACAAGGCAGCAGCTAATGATCGTTTTGACGACTGTTCATTCACTCATTGTTTCAGCACCAGAAAATAACCTTTGTTCTTCTCCCTCTGTGCAGTTGGAGTTGAGTGACAACAGGATATCAGGCGGTCTGGAGGTGCTGGCAGAGCGGCTGGTGAACCTAACGCACCTAAACCTCAGTGGGAACAAGTTCAAAGACATCAGCACCCTGGAGCCTCTGGTGGGTGGAGGCAGAGTCTGAGACCTCATGACCCTAAATATTATCAACTGCTGAAATATTAAAACGTGTCTGTGACCTCATATGAGGACAGCACATTTTGGGTTTACTGAACCTTATGCTTCATTCTGCTTAACCTCAACCTGTTGTCCTCGTTCGTGGACACTTTTGTTGTGCCACCTAGTGGTAGTAAGAGCACAGGACACTAATCCATGTAAAAACAAGATGGCAGCCATCTCTGCCAAGTCAGTCTGCAGCCGATCCTGACACAAAAGTGGACATGGTCCAAAACCTGATCGCATTTTATGGCTGAAACTTGTTTAGTTATCGTTAATAATGCTTGTAGTTGGATATGGCAACAAATTTGACCAAAAATTAGCAACAGTAACAAACTAAAATGCTGTTAAATAGGTAGTACTCGTTTGAGGACATTGGGACTTTATTGTTGTCTCGTTTGAGGACTTTCAGGAAAAAGTCAAACGAAAGATTCTTTCTTCATCTGTAGAGATGAATTGTTCAGATGAATTTTGTATCCCAAACAGTGTGTTGGCACGAAAGTGTTAGTAATCCACAGCATTACCTTCAGCTTTAATCACGTCTGTGTCTATTTGCCCTCCAGAAAAAGTTGCCCCAGCTGAAGAGTCTCGACCTGTTTAACTGCGAGGTGACCAACCTGGGTGACTACAGGGAGTCCATCTTCAAGCTCCTCCCCCAGCTCACCTACCTGGACGGCTATGACATCGACGACTGTGAGGCGTCTGACTCTGACGGAGAGGGTGACGGAGTCGATGATGAGGACGAGGAGGGCTTGGGTAAAAGCAACATATAAACATTTAACAGGGTTCCTACGCAAGTATGGAAAAGTATGGAAATAAATTTGATCAATTTCCAGGTATTAAAAAGTATGGAAAATGAAAAATAAAGTATGGAAAAATATTTATGTTTACAGACTATTACCACTGTTCTAAAATACTGTTTTCTAAAATAGAAAATTAGGTATTTCCAAAAATAATTTAATCAATCCGGATCGTGTTTTATGCTGGGCCAAGCACAGTTTGTGTGAGAGCAAACATCTCAGAAAACATAGCGCTCCTTTTACCTGATTGACAAGTGGTATGTCCAGTCCGCTGCCCCATGACCCTCCTCCAGGTATCAAGTTTCACTCCAACACTGCACCTTCAACAAGAAGACGAGTTTCACGTGGTTATAATGGGTAGATGCAAGTTTTTGAATGGATGGCTTGACAATACCGTATATAAATCCTGGTTGGCCAAGGATTCCCAATTCACACACACAGCTAGATGCAAGCTTTGTGTGAAATCGTTTGACATCGCCAACAAGGGGTAGAAGGCGATTCTGAGCCACATGAAAGGATAAAACACCGACATCTCGTTACTGCATCACTTGCACCCAGAGTCCCAACCTTTTTGCCTCAGCCCAAACATTGAACTTACCTCAGTTTTTATTTGCATGCCATTATAGTACTTGGCTACAATCGCCTATTAAGAATAATTAAATATGATGTGAAATATAATACACAGATATATTTACTCAGATGTTTTATATTCTCTGGAAAAAAAAAAAAAATGCAGAGAAGTCTGGAGATTAGGGTATGGAAAAGTATGGAATTTTGAAATTACAAATGTGTGGGAGCCCTGATTTAAGATGGTCTCATAATGGAACAAAATAAATGAGATTGATGCTTCTTGTTATTTATGATCATTGTCAATTATTCCCATCTGTTTTCCAGAGGGGGAGTCGGAGGACTTCGAGGAGGAGGAGGAGGATGACGAGGAGGACGTAGTAGCTGAAGATGATGACGAAGATGATGACAGTGTTGACGATGAGGTCTGGGGCTGATGTGAACATTATATCCAAAGACTGTTTAAGTTTGTAAATGATGTAGTCATCATATTAACAAAGGATCTATATGTAACTGAACTGAAAGAAGCTAGGGCTGACTGACCAGTGCGAGCATGTTCATTAAAGGCTAAGACGTAAGCACGTAGCCCGCCAGCAAGTCTCGCCTTCAGAGTCGACTGTACTAATATGTAGAGGCGCCATTTAAAGCAGTTTATGTTCCTCAACATCCACGAAATACAGAGTTTAACTGCAGACCTGTATTTGACAGTAACTCTTGAGGTGCTTGAAGGACTGTAGACGTGGATTGTCTTCATATTTTAAACCTTAAAGTTTGTTGAGTTCTTGAAGTCGAATGTCGGGATTCATCCATCAGCGAAAATCTTAACAAGCAGCTTCTCTCTCTGCAGGACGGAGAGGTGAACGGAGACGTAGACAGCGAAGACGATGACGAGGATGAGGAAGATGACGAGGACGATGGTCAGTAACAGTGTGGCTCTTTTGCCACACCTCAGTCCATCTGTGTCAGCTAAAACATGTTTGTATTTCCTTTGCCGAAAAAGGAGTTGTTGTACTTAAATTATGTCGTCATGATTAAATGAACAGGAAACGCTAATACGAAGATCAGAGGGGTCAGAAAAATGATGAGGAACTTTATTTTGAGGAACTAACCCAATGTTCTGAGACTCTAACACTAAGATTATTGAAGGATATTCTTTCATTATTTTAAGAAACTAACTCATTTTAAAAAAAATTAATCAATTATTTTCATTTACTAACTCATTGTTTCAAGATACTAAGTCATTACTTTGAGATACTTGCTCATCATTTTGACAAACTAACTCAATTTTTTTTTTTTTTTTAGATTAACTTGATGTTTTGAGATACTAACTCGTTATTTTGAGATACTTAATCATAATTTTGACAAACTAACTCGATATTTTGAGATACTAACTCGTTATTTTGAGATACTAACTCTTTTTTTTAGATTAACTTGATATTTTGACAAACTAACTAGATATTTTTGAGATATTAACTTGATATTTTTGAGATATTAACTATTTTTGAGATACTAACTCGTTATTTTGAGATACTTAATCATAATTTTGACAAACTAACTCGATATTTTGAGATACTAACTCATCTTTTTTTTTTTTTTTGAGATTAACTTGATATTTTGACAAACTAACTAGATGTTTTTGAGATATTAAGTTGATATTTTTGAGATATTAACTCTATTTTTGAGATACTAACTCGTTATTTTGAGATACTAACTCTTTTTTTTTTTTTTGGGAGATTAACTTGATATTTTGACAAACTTACTAGAAATATTTGGAGATATTAACTTAATATTTTTGCGATATTAACTCTATTTTTGAGATATTAACTCGTTACTTTGAGATACTTAATTATAATTTTGACAAACTCGATATTTTGAGATTAACTCATTGAGATACTAACTCATCATTTTGACAAACTAACTCGATTTTTTTTTTTTTAGATTAACTCAATATTTTTGACAAACTAATTCGACATTTTTGAGATTAACTCTTTTGATATACTAACTCGTTATTTTGAGACGCTTAATCATAATTTTGACAATCTACCTCTATATTTTGATATACTAACTCAATATTTTTGAGATATTAATTCAATATTTGGAGATATTAATTCAGTATTTTTGAGATATTAACTCAATATTTTTGAGATATCTTGATTATTTTTGACTAGCTGTTTTGAGATATTAAGTCGATATTTTGCAATATTAATACTGTTTTTGAGATATTAAGTCGATATTTTTGTTAGATATTAACTCGATATCCTGAGATATTAATTCATTTTGAGAATTATCTTTATTTTAAAGATATTAAGTCTTTTTTAAGATACTGACTCATTAATTTGTGTCATTAAAATTACTTGAAGTATCTTTTTATGTTTTCATCAAATTAGCAGAAATGGGCTTCCATAGTTTTTGTCTTTTTAAAATCAAACTCATCCTGATTTTCGTGGGGAGAAAAAGTCACACTGAATATTTTCGGGATGTGATGAGTTCAAAATATTTTAAAACATTCAAACCCTGGTTGTGTTGTTTTTGTTGTTGAACCTGTGGCTTCTCTTCTGCAGACGAGGACTCGTCTCCGGCCAAAGGAGAGAAGAGGAAGAGGGACCCTGAAGATGAGGATGATGAAGATGATGATTAAGGACCCACAAAGACCCCACAAACCCCTCTGACCTCTCGCCCGGTGACCCCCTCCCCCTCTCCCTACATGACCTCTCCCCACCCCCCACCAAGCTCGCCTTCCTCCTCTGACTCCTCCCCTTCACTCAGTGACTCCTGGGCTGCATTCCATTTATCAAACCGGTCACCTCCCACTGCGCCCTCGCCTCCTCCTGCAGACCGAAACACACGTTTGCAACTTCCGTTAATACATCAAAACACCTATTGCTCATATTTCTTTTTTCTTTCTCTCCGTTATGCAAAAGTCTGTCACTATTTGGTTATTTCAGTCTTTTCAAATTCATATTATCAGATCCCAAAATAACCTTCTGCAACCCTGATGAACAAACATCTAATTATGCAAATATATTTCTCCTAAATGTTAATACTCTCTGGCATCTTCGTGTTTCGGCACAGTAACGTGAGAGATCTTCAGATTCACAAAACAAATCAGAACTTTCTTCACTTCATCATTTTGTCTCTGAATCGTCAGAAAATCATAAAAAATAGTCGTTATTATGTCTCGTCTGAAAGTCACGTCTCCAGATGTCTGGTTTTTCAACCATGTAATAATATTATCAGTAAACTGTCAGATCTGTCAGAGAACAGCAGAAATCTTCAGATTTTTAAGGCTGGAACCAGAAAACTTTGGGCATTTTTATTCAGTTATTGCGTTAATGTTCTGTAAATTCTCTGTCACTGATAAGTGAATCTACAATGGATAGAACTTGAAAAGCTGAGGCACCTCACTGCTCAGTAATTAAAAAGGAAAAGCAGCATAAAGTACCTCTGTGACATTAATAGGACTTAAATTTTCAGAGAAATTCATACCAACTGATTTGAATCAGAATCTTATTTCACAAAAAACACTTAAACTCAGTCGGTTATTGGTTTTTGCTGTTACGTCTGACAGAATATGTAGGAAGAAGGCGTTTTGGTGACCGCTGAATTCTGTTCTAAAATTACATTTAAAAAGCCCTTTTTTTCCCAAAACAAAAGGCCAAAATTTGCAGACCAGAACCTTAGACGAGGAATTACAAACTGTCATTTTTCTGCATCTGTAAATGATGTTAACATGTAAAACACAGTCGTATTATTACTTTAACCCCATTTTTATGTCTCTGCACATAAATTCGTCAAGTGGTACATGATTGAAATTTTAGGACAAATGAAAGTACAAATTCCTACTCCGCTAACAACAAGTAAACGCATCCGGAGGTTTAATAATGTATAGATAAAAAAAAAAAAACTTTCGCAAATACAGAAAATAATTTTAAACACAAAACTGTTTTGCAAATGCTCAAATTCCACAAATAAAAAAAAATCTGTGAAGAAATTTATTTACAAATAAATTAAAAATATCTTTCTAACATTTTCAACATTTGAAGAAATATTTGTGAATCCAGTTTTTTATTTGTGGATTTCAATTCTACGCTGGCAGATTTATATTTCACACAGCTTTTTTTTTTTTTTTTTTTTTTTTTTTTTTGTGAAATTTGTGTTTTTGCTGATGTTTTATTTTGCCAAATATTTTTGTGAGTTTAAAAATCACTTTTGTATTTGCAGAAGTTGTTTTATATTTACAGATAACACGGATGATATTGGCACAAATCAATCTCCATACAAAAACATGAGCTTTCTTGCTTTTTTGTTGTTGTTGTTGTGAGATCAGAAACTATTTTGATCACGAGAGACGTTGACCATGTAAACTGTCAAGTAAATCTCAGTGTCAGCAAGTTTTTGACATGGCCGGGAAATTATTTTGTAAACACGTAAACAATAAAGAGAAAATTTGGGGCTGTGGAAGGAGACAGAACGAGGGCTCGTGGGAGGTCCTTTACCATCTTCCTCTGACACCCACCCTGGGACTGAGCCAGCTGTTATGATGTCATCACCGCCCTCCCAACAGGCTCTGTGATGTCATCAGCGGACAGTCAAACACAGCGATCACATCCCGACCCCCCCCCCCCCCCCGAGGCTGAGCGCGCTCAGGGCAAACTGTGTTCTCTCTTTTTTGCCAACAGAGCTTTTTAAAAGAAATATTTTTTCAGAGAAATTGTTTTTGTTTAATTTTGTATGGTTGTCTGGGGACACTCTCTTTCTCTCTGTCTCTCTCTCTCCGTCTCTCCTTTCTTTTCTCTTCCTGCTCAGTAGAGAGATCCAGTTGATCCTTCACACTTACACTGACTAGTTGATGTTGTTTTCTTTTATTTTCTTTTTTTTTTACTTTCTGTAAGTTAAAGGAAAAACCAACAAAAAAAGACACACAAAAAGGACTTTGTAAATAAAATCTTAACATTTTGCTCCTGGCGTCTCCTCTCTGGCCTTTTGTCTTCATGGTTGATAGAATTCTTTCTCGCCACATTCAAATTGAGCTAAACGCTGAACTAATGTCGTTACTTTTGCAGGTATTTGGTCAGAAATCAAGGTGTGAAATTCACCTGAGTAGAGCCTGAAAAGCGATGCAGGATTTATACTTACTAGTCCATACCCATTTAGTGCACAGTTGCCCATGTACAGTTTCACATGGTGTGTGTTTGGGATACAGGTCATAGGAAATTGCAGATTGAATAGTCAACTGAACCCATTAAAGTAGCTTTGTCACCTTCTACCTATGTCAATCCTCAGTGCCTATGTGAAGTTTCACATAGATTGACCACGTCAGTGAGTAGAAAAACGTGGGACAGACAGTTTGATGGGGTCAATAATGGAGGGGTCCCCTCAGATTATGTGTGGTCATATGCCTACAAAGTTGTGTGGTGATGGGTGAAACCCTTGAGATGTTAAACACCTTTATGTGATGAGCCACGCCCTCCGCAATATTCATTACCTTATAGAAGCTCAGTTTTAGTAAGTTTTCCAACTTTTGCCAAGAGGAAACTTTAGATATTGGTCCCTAGATTATGTTCACCCAGTTTCATGCAGATCACTCAAACTTCCTAGGAAGAGATCGATTTGAAGTGTTTTTCAAAAAATTCAAAATGGTGGAAAATCTATATAAGAGGAAGTTATGTGTTCTTGAGGCAAATGTGTTCCTCATGAGGAGAGGCATCTCTGTGCAAAGTTTCATGTCTCTACGACATACGGGGCATGAGATATGTCCATTCAAAGTTTGCAATTTCAATCGGTTGCTATAGCGCCCCCCTTTGGCCAATTGATGTAATATTGCTTCATTGGCATCCTCCCGTGACCCTCTACCACTGTGCCAAATTTCACATGGAGGTGAAGCTGTTATTTACTTTAATTTCACATATAAGAAACAATAAATTGCAAAGACAATAAAGCCTCCACAACCAATTTATTTTATGTAACTGTTGATGTAACGTAGGCCTACTGTAGCTCTAACATGCGTGGTTGTGTGACGTTTTGTTTACCATCACTTTCGTTTCTTCATTTGTCTCCACATCCTGTGTCTCCATCCAGATATGGCAGCTAGCCGGAATTATGTTTTTATGCGATGTATCCGGTCCTTAAAAAAATCATGTAAAAGTTTTGAAATTTTGTCCATGAAAATTGGGAGTGGGAATCCTGATGGTTTGCCCACCAGGTGGTGTTGACGAGTTGATTTTTTTTTTTTAAGTGATTGTATGTTGTTTGGTCCCCGTTTTTTAAGGATTCGTTCTCAAGTTGTCTCTAAAAACATGAATATTGGATGATTATCCAGATGTCTAACAGCTCATCATCTGGGGTCCATGAACGCATCGCTTTATAAATTCAGTTCATCCAATTGTTGTTTTAAGTCTGGACCAAAAGAGTTCAAGAGAAACATCTTGATTTGCTAAAAGTGTTTTAAATCATAAAAAAGTTGTAACCAGGTCACACTGGCCAAGATACAAACTTCTCAAGATGACGAAATCCAGATAACCAGTGCTCTAAATGTGTCTATCACAGTGTAGGATACTGGCTTTGTAAAGAACAGGTCAGATATCCAGCATGGGGTCACTTATGTGTTTTTATTAGGAGACAGAAACAGCAGGTTGATGCTATCAGACTGTGTTTGACTGTGTTGTTGTGACTAGATAAAGTAATAAATGTACGTTACAGTTGCATCTGCAGTAGCACAACCTGGGTGTCTGATACAAATAAATTCACAAGTCTGGTTTCAAGTCTTAGTCTGCCAACAAGTACACATCAACTACTGCTTGTCACAATCTGTGCCACTAAAGAGAATGAAACAAAGATCAATTTTGGATTATCCTGATCAAAGGTATCCCAATCCCACTAAAGAGTTTTTAACAACATATACTGAAGGTTCAATCCAGATCAGAACAGAGACTGGATTACATCTAATCTGATTTCAGAATCCTTTTCTTTTCCTCTGAACCCATTTTTGAGATTTGATCCAATCCGATGGTCGATATCTGATCAGAGTACTTCTGGACACCTGGGTCCATAGCGATGTGAAGATGTCAGCGGCGTTTCCTTTACTGGTCGGAGACGTTGAGGAGTTTGTGTTAAAACAGCAGCGTGAGAGTTGACGGGTTGAATCAGAAGGTCGCCCTCATGTTGTTTCTGGTGTTTTTGATGTCGCGCTCCAGCTGTGCGATCCTCACCTGCGGAACAGAAACAGTCTGAATCACTGTCATCCACCAAAATACAAGAGAGTTGAGCCTTTGATTTAGAGGACACGTGTTGCCTGGCTGTCCTGTGTGAACGTGTGATTGTGTGTGAATACGAACGTCTTTCTCATTCAGTTGTTCTCTCAGGCCTCTGATCTCGTCTTGCTGTCTGTAAAACGCCTGCAGGAGCTGAAATGAAAAGAAATGAATAAAACATTTGCAGTCACAGTATTGTCACATACATATCTGATCCACTGGCGCCTCACCTCGCTCTCGGTCGTAGGCGGCGGCCTCTCTGCAGGTTCACAGCAGTGTGGCGTGCAGCAGTACGTCCACAGAGGGATCTGGGTCTCATCTGGCTGCCACCCCGACAGATCGCTCACCTCTCTTGGGTATTTGGCGTCCTGGTAGGACAGCTGCTCCTCAAGGAAGGCCTCGAGAGAGATGATCAGCTGGTTCATAGAACAGCAACAAAACAGAGCTGGACAGAACTTTGAGCCACGTCAGGGTTCACTGTCAATAAGAGCTATGTGATGAGTCACAGAGGTGCTTTGCATTTTGTTATCTTGTAGCTACACCTAAAGGTCCGGTGTGAAGGATTTAGGAGGATATATCAGCAGAAATTAAATATAATAAGACTGTTTTCTTTAGTGTATAATCACCTTAAAATATGAGCTGTTTATCTCCATAGGGAGCGGGTCCTAGTCTATGGAGATCGCATCTACTCAAATCGCAACCCAGTTTAGATCGCCACGCTCACTCCCGCATATGCAGAGCCCTGACGGAAACCTCCGACCACCTCCGAGCTACCGCGAATAAGGGCTGGTCAGCCAGCTAGCTAACTTAGCCTGTTTTGGTTTACCCCGTTACATCAATATACAACTACTTTTAAATTTAGTACTGCCGCAAATCTATCACGACTACTTGACTACTTATCACTGCCACAAATATACTCCAAACGCATTATTTTCGCTAAGTAACGTTACTGCCATTCATGTAAGGAGAGGTGAATCCAGATGTGTCCACCTCTTTACATCTGGTCAACTTTACCGAAGGATAGCTTTAGCAGAAGAGAAGACCAATTTCATTGAATTAACGTGATAACAGCTGTTGTGAGCGACGTTCTAGTGTTATGAATGTAGCCTAACGTTACGTGAATGGCAGTAACGTTACATAGCTGTAACTAGCCGTAGCTAGCAGCCCCTAATGTGAGCACACATTAGCAGGTGCTGGGCAAGAATTGTGTCGGAGAAACAGGAACTGCTTTATTGAGTGTTTTTACTGATTTAAATCACCCGTGGTCTCATTTGTAAACATTGCGTCCGCACAAAAGGAGACCTAAAAGAGGCGTACGCCACTTCTCACGCAAAAGTTGCGATCGATAAAAACAGGCTTGATGCTTACGAACATTTTGGAGACAGGAAAATGGCAACGCAGATGATAAGGTTGACTGTGAAAACAAACTTTTTTTGACACACACAATTTTTGGATTTTGTGCGTACGTACATTTTTAATATGGACCCTACACACCGTTTTATAAACGAGACCGCTGGTGTCCCCAGACCCCTGGGGATGATTCATCTTCCAGAAAAACCCTCCTGAACATTGAACACTGAAGGAATTCCAAGTTTCAGCTGGTTGCAATCCACAATTCTCACCGCTAGACTAGGGATGCACCGATCCGATATCTGGATCGAATATCGGCCTCGATATCACCAAAAGAGATGGCTCAGGTATCGGAAAATGCAACCGATACCTGAGGCGATCCTTTCCCTTTAAACTATTGCGACGCGAGCTACGTCACACGTCATGGAGCGAAGGAGAGAATCTGCTGTGGTATTTCACACCGTTTCAACTGCTGTTGCACAATTGTTTTTGTTCAAAATAAATAGCTCATCATTGCATTAATCTGTTTCAACTTGTTTCATTTTATCTTAGGAAAGAACTGTGTAGTCATCAATGCCTGATGCCTCTAGCCTTTTCTGTTCTACGTGTAAAGGTATATAGCTTTTTAGGTCAACCATGGTATCGGATCAGTATCAGGTATCGGCTGATACTCAAAGCCACAGCATCGGAATTGGTATCGAAACTGAAAAAGCTGGATCGGTGCATCTCTACGCTAGACGCCACAAAATCTCCTTAAATCTGACACGCTGAACCTTTGAAGTTCAGTGTGTCTCATCTTCTATCTTTCAATGCACGGTTATTAAAGTAGAGCTATCCGCAAAGCAATCTGAAAGTGGTCTGTGTTTTATGAAAGGATGAAGCCTTATGAATCATTTTCTATATTTCCTGAGCCCACCAGATGGCGATCTCTGTTTAACAAAGCATTACAACCCCACTGGACTCTCTGTCCTTGAGCTTTTTTCCTTTAAAACCAAGAGCGCCATCTAGTGGGCTCAGAAAATACAGAAAACTAGGAGAAAGTAAAGAGGAGAGTGAAAGAGACAGGGAGTCAGTGTTGTGCTGATTGTTGCCTCATTAGTCCTCTGATAAACAGTAAACTCATCAGTTTGGCTGCTAAAATAATTTATTAAGATTATGTCGGATTATTAAAAACATCCCCATTCCCACAAGAGAACGTTAACCATTCAACAGGAAGTCCAACTGACTGGAGGGGGGCTTTAATCATCAATATTCTGTTTTTACCACATGACCCCTGAGGGCCTCCGTACTGCAGTACTCAAAGACAGGATTTTAGAGTGTGCATGTTCTCCTCATGTCAGCGTGGGTTTCCTCCAAGTGCTCCGACTTCCTCCCACATGCAGGTCAATTGGTGACGAATGTGAGTGTGAATGGTTGTCTGTCTCTATGTGTCAGCCCTGTGATAGTCTGGCGACCTGTCCAGAGTGAACCCTGCCTCTCACCTAACGTCAGCTGGGATAGGCTCCAGCCCCCCTGCAACTACAAACAGGATAAGCGGTTACAGAATATGAATGAATGAATGATTGTCCACCTGCTACTGTGCCTGGTGGAATCCAAAATCTAACAGCAGCTCAGTAGATTAACAGTTCTTCTGGCTGGTGAGTGAAGCAAATCTCACAACCACTTGCATATTTCACCAGCCTTTGGCCGATGGCTGGTGCTGATTTCCTTCCCTGAAAGATAATATCAAGGTTTACATACACACCATCATGCTGTTCCATACGTTCCATGATGGCTGAGAGAAAATATTTGTTTCCGTCTGTGGTGAAGTCAGAACAGTTTTTCCACGTCTTTTGTTCATTGACTGAAAGTGACACAAAAGTACTAGTGACGCACAGTAATATCGGTACATTATCGGCCTCTAGCACTACAGTAAGAAACCTGGGAGTAACATTTGATCAAGATTTGTCTTTTAATTCTCATTTAAAACAAACCTCAAGGACTGCATTTTTTCATCTGCGTAATATTGCAAAAATTAGGCCTATCCCGACCCTGATGTAAAATAAGTGGATACACAATTGTTGTTGTGTTGTGCACCTACACTGATGTCACCATCACGGACAAAGGAAGCGCAGCCAAACAGGATCAGAGACTTGATGATCACTGAAACTAGGTGGGGAAGAGCGGTGAGAGAGATATCAACATAGGTATTGGTTATCGGTCAAATGAGTTGTTACCCATTCTGCATATTGGATATTGGCAAAAAATACTTCGGACAACATTTGCAGCAGCAAGTTCTTCTTTTAGGTTTTCTTTTTTAGTAGAATTGACGTAAAATAAGTGGATACAAAATCATTGGTATGTCACCATCACAAAGGAAGCGCAGCCAAACAGGATCAGAGGTAAATAAGATTTCTGAACGATGTGTCACTTCCTCCACTGTTTGTTATGTCACGCCCTTCAGTGCCATGTGTGTTTGTTATTGTCTGCCTGGAAACGGAAGTTCTTCCCTCTCACACAGTTTTCTGCGCTTGGTCCAACTTGATGTCATCACAACTATCACCAAGGTTGCCATACAAAACAGTTTGCATCACAGCCCCACCCTGCAAAATGTACCTGGAACGTGCTACGCCGGTTGTGCAACGTGATGAAGTGAGGCAAGCCCGCCTATATAATTGCTTGGACTCTGCTCACTTGTGGTTTAACGGCAGTCGAGCTCATCTCACCCGGCAGCTTTCCGTCTGTCTCATGGATCTATTCATGTTTCACCTCGGAGACTTTGTGCTCGGCTTCAGTTTCGCACTCTGGACTTTCACTGTACTCTTGGGTATGGTGGTCCGGACGGCCGGTGAAGGTAGGGTTGGTTGTCACACTTTTTACTCTCGTGTGAATTGCTCAACATCAAAGCATCTTTCAATAGTCATTCCTACATTGAATGAAAGCTTGAGGTCTTGGCTTGAAATGGGCATCACTTTCATTGATACAACTTATTGTAACAAGAAGTAGTTAACCATCAAAGACACTCTGACACATTGTGACAACCAATTCCATCACAAGGCTGGTTGTCCCTATACTATAGTTATCAATGGGGTTTCATTTTAAAAAACTAAATGTGTAACCTTAGTTTTTTAAAGATAAAAAGACCAAATAAGTTTTAAAATGAATACCACCTCTAGAATAGTAGCCCACTCATCACATCCCTGTGTTTAAACCATTAATTTGAATGAGGTGATTGTTTGTTTTGAATGATCCTCTGTGACGAAACAGTACAATGAAGGAAATTACAGCCATTAATATGAGCTGTCACACGTGAGACAACCGTCCCCAACTGACCTCCTGACAAACATTTTAAGTTGGCTACTGCATGGCTTCAGCTTGCTTGCTAAAAGCTGCCTCAAATTAAAGCTATCATCTCTGACTGTTCATGCACAAATGCCAAACAATTCCTAGCTGAGGCTTCTCAGTTGTTTGATATGCTGCTTCTCTTTTCCTTATGTGATAATAAACTGAATATCTCTGGGTTTTAAACTGTTGGTCGTTCACAACAAGCAGTTTAAAGACATTAGTTTGACCTTCAGGAAACTGTTATCGGCCTTTTTTTCTAATCAGCGATGGGCGTGATTGTTCGTAATTCCAAAATTTAAGGCATATAAGCTTCCGTATTAGCACTGCTGATGTGACATATGGTCGTTGAAATGTGACATGAATTGACAGGAAAAAAAATTTGCCTCTGTGTTCCAGGTCGGCCTCAGGTGATTGGTTCATTGCAGCCAATCGTGGCCACTCTGGGTGAAGATGCCATCCTGCCGTGTCACGTGGAGCCTCTACTCAATGTGGAGGAGCTGACGGTGCAGTGGTGGAGGCCTGACATACCGCCTGACCCCACAGATCCACTGAGCAACTACAAGTACGTCCACAGTTACCACAACAGCCGCGATGAAGAGGACATGAAGATGCCATTGTACGCTGGGAGGACGGCGCTGCTCAAAGACGAGCTGAAACACGGCAACGTATCTCTTCAGATCCGGGACGTGAAACTCTCGGATGAAGGAAGATACAGGTGTCAGATCCCACAGCTGGGGAGTGCTTCAGTTATTAAGCTTGTTGTTGGTAAGATTTCGAGAGTAATGAAATCTGTTTTCTTATAGCGTTGTTTTGTATTTTGTTGTTAATCGTTACATATCTTGTGTTTTCTCAGAAGTAATCTCTGTGGAAACGACGCCGCATCACCCTGGAAATCCCCAAACTCCAGATCCAAAAAACGAGACGAATTTTGAAAGTGAGAAAATGGTCCAACTCTGAAGTGTGCTCACATTTGTGTTTGTTGTATTCCAGTTGCTGTAGCTTTTGTCTTTGTTTGCTTTTCTTTCACCTCAGGTGGTCTGAGCAATCAGGGTTTGTGGATCTTTATGGGGGTCGCCTGCGTCGTACCGACCCTGGGAGTTGGAGTCGTTGGATATTTATTGAAACACAGGCGTGAAAAACAAAATGTAAGTTAGATATATAGTGTTGCCTCTTGTTGTGTAAATCATACCAGACCTTTTAAGGATTTTTTCTTCTTAAACTAATTGTTTCAACAGCATTCAGCGTTTGACGTCGCCCCAGCCTGACCACCTCCAGCCTAGGTGCCTTGCTCAAAAGCAAGTTGGTGATTGATGTTAATGGAGATGGGAGCGTCATACGGCTCCACATCTGTCTCATGAGTTCGGGGATTCAGACCAGCAGCAGTGATGGATACAGAATACCATCGGGGAGAATTTGCAAAGACTGACTCTTTAACGCCTGCTGATGACTGTATGACTCATATTTTGTATGATGTGAGTTGCTGCATCAAACACCGGAGGAATCATGCAGATTTAACCAGAGGACAGCTGAACGGGTTCAATCATAGAGCTGGATTCTTCAAGGTGATCTTGAGTTTCTTCATCTCTGCACTTTTTCTTTTCTTAGAGCCATGATATTCCAAGTATGGGCAGAGCAGAGTTTGGAGTGCAGCCCACAACAGCTCATGTTGCCTTTTTATCAGGATTGGGTGGAAGCCAAAGGCTGTCATGCAGACTGCAGGTGTGGCTGTGGCGCAACACACCTTTGAGCATGACACTTTGGGCCTGTGGCCACCAGACTATTGCTGCACAAACACTACCGCACTTTCTAGATTGATCTTATTGCTGCTGATGTCACTGAAGTTGTGTCTTCGTCACAGGTGTAAAAATGTTGAACAAATAGAACTTGTTGAAAGGGCTCGGCAGGAGGCATTCTGTTTTTGAGTTGTCCATTCATCTGTTTTGTTTTGTTTTCTTCAAATTTGGCACAAACAACTTGCCAACTTGCGGACAAAGTCTGCTTGTTTCCTTTATTTACATTGTGCCTCAGTGATCTTAAGAGGGAACTAGAGTTGTAAAATTAAATGAAATCTAAGCGCTGAAGTGGTCATAAGCAACTGCATCATCGTTGGTTCAGGAAAATGTGTTTTCAATGTTTTTCTTTTTTTTCCCACTGCAATTAATTTTTTTTAGATGTTTGTTATAAAATAATGTGACAAACGACTCATGCCAAGTCATGTCAAGATGCTATAATGCATAAACAAAAAAAAACAAAAAAAAAAAACACTTCTTGCCAATTCTTTTTAATGATCTGACAAGTGTTATTTTTCTTCTGTTAACTGCATGGCAACATAACAAAAGCATAAATAGGCAGAGGACCTGCCATTATTATATTTGCAACAATGAAATGTTCTTAAATTTCAAAATAAAGTTAGGTTAAATAATAAATAACGATTTACATGTTTGTCAAAAAGCTGTTAATTTGCTCCTCATTCTCTTTGTGTGACTCCACACCGGTGATGGTAGTGGCCAGAGGCATTATGTTTTCAGATTATCTGTCCATCCCACTCTCCTGAAAGCAATATCTCCACAACACCTTAAGGGAATTTCCTCAAATTTGGCACAAAAGTCAACATGGATTAAACTATGAACTGATTAGATTTTGGCGGTCAAAGGTCACTGTGACCTTGTCCGTATCATTCCAGTGAATGTGATGACTCAAGAACGCCTTGAGGGAATTTCCTTGACTTTGGCACAAACGTCCACATGGATTAAACTATGAACTGATTAGAATTTGGTGGTCATAGGGCACTCTGACCTCACAAAACATGTTCTTTGCCACAACTCAAGAATTCATTCGCTAATTATGACAAAAATTATCACACATAAACGCAATATCTCCAGAAAACCTTGAGGGAACTTCTTCACAGGCGGTACAAATGATCTCTTGGACTTAACAATGAATGATAAGAATTTGGTGGTTGAAGGTCAAGGTCACCATGACCTTGCCTCTGTCTCATTCTCAACACAAAATCTCAAGAACACCTCGAGGGAATAGCCTCAAATTTGGCACAAATGTCCACTTGGACTCAAGGATGAACTGGCTAGAATTTGGTGTCAGAGGTCACTGTGACCTCAGAAACCCACAATTAAAGGATTCATCCACTACTCAAGACAAAATTTGATGACATTTTATACCCAAAAGGTCAAAGGTCAACTTCACTGTGACATCATAATGTTTTCTGGCCATTATTAAACGTCATATCTCAGGAACAGAAGGGGCAACATTTGGTCAGATACTGAGTTGGTAACACTGATCTTGAATAGAATATGCAGCAACATCAATATTTGAAGCCTAGTCTGTTGTCATGACTACATATGAGTCTGGACTGACATTGATTTAAACCGTAACCACACTTTGGATGCATACAACCCCAGTAATTCTAGTTTTCATTAAGTAACTCTGTGGCTGTTTCTCTGCGGTATTTCAGTTGGTTTGGCTGCCTCATCCGAAACTTACTTTTTCCTGTCAAAATATCATGAGAGATTGCTTTTGTATGTTTCTGCAGCTTGTTTCCTCATTGTTTGACTCTCTGAACCTCACAGAGTTCATGGTGATAGATTGCTGTGTAGTTTGCTTAAAAATCACTTCTAAAAAGCCCCAGAGGATAATTAGTTAAAAGAAACAAACATGTCTCCTCTGTCTCTCTTCGCAGCAGCACATGAGGTTTGAACAGCACAGGAACAGGAAGAAGTGTATGTGAGAAAACTTGTGCAGCTCTACCTGTTCAACCAGTTGGAGAGCTGGATGAATTTTAATGGGCTGTTAGTGCCATCTAGTGGATAAAAATGCAAACAGGAGTAGACGTGTCGAAGACGTGCTGCAAATCTGCATGCAAGTGTTGAAGAACTGGACACACACGATTATAAATACTATATAAAACATAATTATGTATCCCTCTTAATGGATTATGGAGTGATCAATAGTAATTTGTGTTATAAATCAGTGAATGTAACTACTAATAAATATTGTGTGCGTAACAAATCACTCATTGTAACTCATCTGCCAATTGTTTTAGGTTTCAGTGCTTGATTCTGAGGTTCAAGCCATGGCAACCAAACAGAGAGTGTTCTACCTCTTCGATAAAGTGCAGATGTGTCCCAGTCACTGCACCGACAGCCGGACCCATCTGGAACCTCAGGGAGCTCAGCTGCCTCACTAGCCCCTTCTCAGCAGGGGTTTCTGGGTAAGGGTTGGCTACTTGACTCTCAGGCTTCAGGGACATCAGCACTGGGCCTGATGGAGACATGTAAGAGACAGGTGGTTACAGTAGATCACTGCATCTGCCAGCCATTTTGGTTCAAAGGCTGTAACTACTGACTTCTGTTCATCCCCAACAGCCACTCCTGAGCCGTCATGGCCGCCTGGTTTCCAGCTGTCATTGGGTACAGATCCTCTTGGAAAATACCTGACTGGAAGGACGGACGAAGACGCTGTGACTTTAGTTTCTGTCTTGATCAGTAAAGGCAACAAAACGAGAAAAGCGAGGTGAATGTATCCTGCTAACCTCTTTTCGTGGTACGATCATTGACAGCGGCTCCACCAGGTCTTTGATGGCGATCAGACGGTAAAATCTGAAAACCTCACAGGCACTGACGTCCAGGCCGCGCTTTGGCATCACCCCTGAAGTGAAGTAAAAGGTCAGAGGTCATTGAGAAATAATGCTGTAATGTCTAAAAATGACAGGTAACGTTTGCTAAAACTAAATTTGATTCAGTTATTATTTTCTAAAATTAGTTTTGTACAGCTGGCTTAAGTGATCTTTTACTAAATAAGTGCTAACAAAGCTAGTGAGGCTAGCTAAGTTAGCATATTTCCGAAATAAGTGTTTGTACAGCGAGTGAAGTTGGACTTTTTCTACAATAGGTCTTGCAACATTACAGTTGGCTCAATTGGTGTTAAATTAAATTTGGTTATGCTAAGTTCATTAAATTGATCTTTTTAGAAAATATGTATTGCTATCTTAGTTTGTCTTTTATCTAAAATAAAATAAGTACTAGGGATTGATGTTTTTTTTCCGAATTAAGTACTGCTCTAGCTAATGTTTGTCACCCCAAATCACCTGTCTGTCTCACTCTCTATTTTACCCTTACTTGTGAAGAGGACCCTGAGATACTTGAACTCCTTCACTTGAGGCAGCAACTCACTCCAAAGTCAGAGCAGGCAATCCACCACTTTCCTGAAAATACTGCTACAGCGAGTTGAAGAAGTTACCGTAGGTATGAAAACACCTGACAAGCTGAAGTATTTGGTCTTTAAACTAAGTATGGGAATGGACGCTAAAGTTGGTATTTTTTGGTTTGAGTTTTAGGGTGCAAATTTAAAATAAATTGAAAAGCATTAACACACTAAACTTTAAAGTAACGCTCTTCTGCTGGTGTCTGTTGATCTCACCGAGTCCTTTCTGTGGCAGCAGGGACCTGTACTCCGTCAAGAAGTTGATGTAAGGTTTCTCAGTGCTCAGCTCGTAGTACCGGATGTTCCCGTCACCCTATATCAAGGACACACCAGTTTTGTCTGTCACACTTGGTACTAGCATATTTAAACAACTTTAAATTGGTTACATTTTCCAAAGAACTATAATTGACCGTATAAACAACCAAACTGACACATAAGAGATTTATAGGTAAGTTTTATGAGGCGCAGTCCCCACTGACTGCAGGAAATGAATCCAAAATGCAAAGATTTAGTAGTGGTATTCGTGTGTTTTGTGTGACCTTCCCAGCCAAGTAGAGCATGTGTGTGTCTGGATCGTAAAACGGGAAGAGGACTCCTGCAGAACCGTCCAAATCTTCTTCATACAGTGGCTCAGATAAGTCGTCCTGCAACCAAACAAGACGATATTCATGACTCTAGATTTCCTGAATACCCGTCCATTTCAGGACACTTTTCTGTCCAATCTGTTTATGGCAGTAAATAGATCAGTCACTCAAACTACTCAACTAATCAATCACTTAATTTGATATGAGTGTGTGTTGTGTCTTACAGGGTCCCACAGGACAATCTGTCTGTGGTTCCAGGGTGAGCTGCCAGTGGACAGAAGCATCTTCAACCCTCCGATGTATAAAACCTTACTGGCCCTGTGGGACTTGCTGTTGGACACCTGCAAGAACATGACTAACATCAGTACAGATACTGTTTGCAGACGAAGTTAACACTCCATTGACCCACCTGTAGGATCCTTCCTGTCCGTGGGTCCAGGACTCGAACCCGCCTGTCTTTGGACGTGACCGCCAGCCTGCTGCCATCACTGTTGAAGCTGACAGACAGCAGCAGTGCATCAGACGGGTAGCGGTGGTAGATGGGCATCAGGACCACGCGGACCGGGTACCTGAGCACTGTGCCTACCTGGGACACATCCCAGAGGAGGACCTGGGGCAAAGACAGAGACAACGTCAGGGCTGTTTTCAGGCCCAGAGGAATGCTGCTTAGCCTTGCGTCCAATTATTCCCGGTGGCCACTTCTGGTATTGCAGCGAGAAAAAAACTGACTCTTTCTATTGTACATTTTGGTCCACAGAGGTTTTAAAGTGGTAAAACGTTCTTTGAGCTGAGAATTTTTTAAAAAAAATTTATAAACATTTTTTAAAAATTAAAAAATTTGCTTACAATATAAAGTCTATAAGCCAAGTGGGAACCTGGGAGCAGGGCCAGCGTACGAAAGACAGTTCAGTGGGCTGCCACCTCCAGAAGTAAACTCCAGAGGCGAGAAAATTTTTTGGCAAATGTGCCAGGTGAGCAGTTCTCATTTGACTGGACAGGCACCATGTTGGGGTCCAGTATCCAGAAGCAACACATTCTCACTCCAACCTTGTCACATATTGACGTTTGGTCATAGACTTTCCACGTCCACATACGTAATGTGCCACAAATTTCGATGCACTTTTCTTTGAGAAATATGCAGCAAAAGTAATAAATGATTGTCTTATAATTAAATGTGTAAACATTGCAGTACAGAACGGAAATATGCATGATGCATTAAAATATTTGTCAGATATTATCACAACAAAAGCACAATATAATAATGGTTATCTTAACTAAAACTGAATAAAGTTCTGATCATAAAAAACATATGATTTTAAATATATTGTATATGTACTGTATATATATTTGTGCAAAGCTTTGGACACAATGAAGTGTTAGAGTCACTGACCAATGAGACTCCTGACCTTGTAGTCGTAGGCGGAGCTAAGCAGCAGGTTCTCAGCGGTCGGATGCCACTCAATCAGCGCCACCCTCCTGGAGTGACCAATCAGAGTCTTCCTGGCCTTAGTGAGGTTCTGTTGGACGCCACAGACTGGGATGTCCCAGATTTTCACCTGCATAGATACACACACACACATACACACACACACACACACACACACACACACACACACACACACACACACACTGGGCTGTCGTTTCAGCTCAAACATCTGAACATGAACACACACACACACACATACAGAAGGAAACATGAACAGGACGCAGTGCTTACGGTGCAGTCCTCTGAGCACGAGGCGATGCAGTGATCGTCAAACGGGTTCCACTTGACGTCCAGGACCCTCCCACTGTGACCGCACACCCTCGGGTGCTGAGGGTCCACCCTGCCTGTCTGAGAGAGCAAGAAAAGAAAAAAAATTATGTATACTTTTCTGTGTGTGTGTGTGTGTGTGTGTGTGTGTGTTTACATTCAATATTTCTTGAGTAAGATGATGACCGAGAAGGACTACGCACATGATGAATGGGCAGGACTAAAAAGGACCCGCCCCCGGCGCACTCGGTCACCACGGCGATGAAGCAGGGATTTGCTGAGCAGTAGTGGTTGTCGTGGACGCTGCGTGTGATTGGCACCCCGTCATAGCTGTGCTCCTTGGTGGACGGCTTCCCGAAAACATGACGAAACTTTGAGCAGCGGAAAGACGAACGCCACGACATCTGGAACAGGAAGTTTAAAGGTTCTTAAAAAAAATTCAGCAGTGTAACTTCAACAAAATATTAGTAACACTCTCTGTAATGGGTTCATCTTTAAGACAGGGATGGAAAGGTGTGTGTGTGTGTGTGTGTGTGTGTGTGTGTGTGTGTGTGTCAGTCCTGTGTAATCTCATAATAGTGTTGTGGAACTTCAGCAGCTGCATTATCTGGACTAATCAATAATGCAATCAGCTGTCATTATTGGCTTTCATAATCTTATCAATAATAAATCAATTTCTTCAGTAACTGAACTTCTTAATCATTCACACACACACACACACACACACACACAGATAAATCCCTCGTCTAGAACAATTTGCTCGTGTTATTAAAGATTCATCGGTTACAAACTCACTTCCTGTTGTTACAAATTCCTCCTGACCTTTGACCTTTACTGTGGCTTAAGAGATCAGCTTACTGTAGAGAGGGGAGAGAAGAGAGGGGGAGGGCAAGCATTTTCACTTCAATGTATCATCTTTACTTACCAACTAACAGGGCTGTACGCCAACAGTTTTCTGCACACAGCACTGGATCTATGGAGGTTAAAAACTTTGTAGCACAGGCCTCAAAACTGTCAGTATGGTACCTTTGGAACCAACAGTAACCCTTCAGACATGGTACCTAGACCCTAGCGTTTACTGTGCAAACAGTCCTTTTAAATGTGGGCAGGGTTGTTGTCACTCACTGCTCCATCCAGCACTCAATGCATTTCCTCATCAGCGGTGACACAGATGGAAGTCTGCACCTGGTTTATTGTCCACAGAACGAGGCTGCAGTGAGAGTCTCTCTCCATGGGATGTTTAAAAACAGCAGCTTTGTGCATTTTTTTAATTTTATTTATTTATTTTTTTTATTTATCCTTTATTTAACCAGGTGAGTCCCATTGAGATTGACATCTCTTTTACAAGGGAGTCCTGGCCAAGAAGGCAGCAAACCAATGTTACAACAATACAACAACAAAAAACATAAACACAGCAGTACATAGATACATAAAGTACATACAGTACACATCAAATTCAAAGAAAGCAGTTGCAGAGCTCTGTTTTTACAGACTGTAACAAACATTTAAAATCACCCAAGGAAACAAGGTCAGCCAATTTTAGCGTTTTCTGGAGCTGATTCCAGGACCAAGGGGCATAATAACTAAAAGCGGTCTTCCCAAATTCAGTGAAGGCGCGA